GTCTGCATGGTATGATTTGTTTCCTACGATGCCTATATCACCGTGCTTTTGTCACGAGCTCAAAGGAAGGGGTTATGATAAACTTCTCGAATCTTCAAGAGTCAGCACGGGGGTAGTGAATTCTCGGTATCGGTTTTAGTTTTGAATTCCTGTGCCGTGCGACTATAGTCCCAGGTCTATTCTCACGAACGGTATTAAACATAACTTTACTTATCTATTTCTCGAAGCACGAGAGTAATAATAATATAATTAGACTTAGATGTAAATAATCTGGATTTATGAAATATGAAAAAATATCTGTTGATTTGATATTCAACATTTAAATAAATGAAATTTGATAATAGATAATACCATTTTGATAATTAAGATTTGATACTCGATATTTTAAAATATTTTTTGATACTAAAATTGTTATTATTATTCTGCATCAATTGATTTGCATTCATTTATATGCAAAGCTTTATAATACTTTGATTTTCCAGATTTCCTAATCTTTTTTCTAGAGGATTAACATTCGTGAAGTTATTCAAGCATTTTTCACAATGAAATCGATGTGAAATCAGTGAAACCATATTGATAAAATATTAAGATGAAATTACTTAAAATTATTTAAAATCGTTTAAAAATATAATTTAAAAAAAATAAAGAAGAGTGGCTTCAACATTTGCACTTTATAATATATATCACGTTATCGTTATGAACCAGGAAGCAATTTATCCCTTAACAAACAACGTTCTTCTTATTAATTTTAAATGAGGATAATGTCAACAGTCATCAGCTAAATCATGCTCGATACTGCGATGCCCCAATATTTTCACGTATTGCGATTTTAATAAAGAGTTAATATTGTATTATTTATTTTTAAATAAAAAATAAATCATTTTCGTATAATTAAAAAAATTAAAATCAATATCATTTGTACGAAATTGATTTTATAACGATATTTGAAATCAAGAAATCACATGAAATCACTATGAAATCACTGTGAATTTTGAATGAATTTATTTTTCCTTCGACTAATCAGCTCCTCGCTTTTTTTTAAATACAATTGTTCTAAATTTAATATTGTTCGATTTTTTTTTATATATTCTATTAGTATATACATAAATATCAAATTATTTGAATTAACAAATCTTTTTATTTAGCAAGTAATAAAATTCTTATTAGTAAATCCGTCATAGTTGTTTTGTTAATTACAAAATTACAATTTGTTATGAATCACCTATTAATATAAGTGTTAACACATCGTTAAAATAACTAATGATTAAATTACAGATATTTTAACTTCTACGTAAAATTGTACGAAATTGAATGACTGAAAAACTTACAAAATAAACATGATATACAAAAAAAAAATCAAACAAATTATTTAAAGGATATCTCTATTGAAACTCTATTTTTCCAATTATGTTCATAAAAATTTGATTTCGCATAAAAATCCATGATTCATTTGCCTGGTTAGTGATCGTGTATAATCATAATGAAAAATTGCATTCTTTTAAAAACAAACATAACTCAGACTAAACACATTGTTAATCGTACAATTGACTCTTTATAAAATTTGTTGTTATAAAAAAATTAATATCGTACATTTATAAATAGAAGAAGAATTATCGAAAAAAGAAACAATTAATCTCGATCAAATGTATCAAACTGTTATGCCAATTTACAAAAACATTTTACATAATTAATATATCCGTTCGCATTACCGAGATTTTCATCCATAACAAAAGAACCGTGAATAGAAGTTATCAACCTCGATAACTCGGGTCTAATTAAAAATATACGGCCTTGGTTGAAACAGATTAAGAGTGATAAATTCTAACAAACTCGACAGCAGCGTAAAATTACCGTCAAAATTTGAAAACCTCGAAATTCTAAACGAACGACCGAACTATTATTAAACAAGATACACATGCAGACAATGAATCAACATGAATCTCTATTTATTACGTATTACAATTCAGATGTATTCATGAAAATATTTGATAAACTATTTTTATTTTTTAAAATAAAAAAAGTGTATCAAATATTAATGAACAATTTAATGAAATTGTAATGAACAATTTTTTATTATTTTATTTTATGAGTTTATAGAGCATAAAGGTTATATATTTTGTAATTTTTTTTATTAAATATCGTTTTAAGGAAAATAATGGAAATCAATTTAAAATTTCAATGCATTTCGATTTTATAATTAATTATTATCATACGTGTATGATGCGAGATGAAATTTAAAACAAAATTTTAAATTACGAAATGTTCAAAATTTAATATTCTATTACTCTGTTGTAAAAAAAAAAAACCTCTAGACTACAACAATTATATTTAAAACAGAAAAAAATATATGAAAAGATTGAAATTTTTAAGGGTTGATTTCATTTCGTTAATGAGATTTCTCATTGACAATGAAATCACATATAAATTATTATACTCTACATATGTACAAACTTTTATTAAAAATTTTATTAAAAATTTAGATGAATTTCTCTACAAGATATTATTCAACTTTCGTGAACCACTGTATGTATGCAATGAGAACGTAACAAAGCCACGTGCATCCTATCGCAAGGAAAGAAATTTGATCTCTCGTATGGAAAAAATAAAAAAAATAAAAAAAAGTAAAAAAAAAATAAAAATTGTCGAAAACCTGACCCGATTGGGGAAACAAAAAACCGTTCCTATTTCTAGTTTAGGAGGCCAACGCCACTTAACACCGAAATTCAACCGGTAGAAACTCGGTATTCCGAATATACAACAGAATAGCAGGAAAATCGGACGAAAGGCTCGCGAGAGGGCGTGAAAAAACGTAGCCTGCATAAACACCGCCGATGAAAAGAGAAATGTAGGTCGTGGATGGAAAGGGCGTCAAAGATATCGCAATAATATTAAACGGTTACAATAACTTCATGGCGGCGCGTGCTCGGTTTATTCATGGATTTAATAACAACCGAGGCTGAATTTCGCTGGCTGTTTACCTTGAGAAATCGGTTGAAACCGATAGAAGGAATAACGCTCGATTTCTTCGACCGCGATTCGTGAATCTGGACTAACTACTTTTACACGGCGCGTAATGCGATCACTTGTAATTCTACGCGGAGCGACAGGAAAGGGGATCATCTATACGCCATCATGGATTTATTTATGCGACTTCGTGAGTGGACCGTGATTGCATTCCCTTAACCCAGTGTTTCCCAATTATTCCTTTCATTGACATGGCCCTCTTTTATAATAATCAAATAAACTATGGTCCACTGTATCCGTCACAAGTGCGTAAGATTGTATTTTTGATAGGATAAAATAAATATTTTATCTTTGACGATCATCTGTACAGAGTCGATTGTAAAAATATCAGTGGAATATTAAAAATATGTCGTAGAAAAATATAAAATATCTATTTAATATTTATCATACCGATGAATCATTAATATTTTTTCAATATCTATCATGATAAGTTATAAAGTCTTTTATTTATTCCCATTTATTCGTATAGTCATTGAAATAAATAAGTAAAAATTTTTATTATACAATTTTCTGTATAAATATTTAAAGATCGAAGTAAGTTTTTATTAATATGCGAATCTGAATATTTAAAAATCATCCGTTACAAAATAACAATAAGAAGATGATTGAGCATTCTATAAACGCTATGAAAATAGACATGTGTTTCGACCGGAAGTGGCGCATCTACAAATAAGATCATATAACATCGCGTGACTGTGAACAAGGGAATAAAGTATCCCCTTGTCCAATATATCGTTTCAAAGGACTTCTTTGGGAATATATATATATGTACATTGTCGTTAATTATACAGGTATAATATATGAACGAATGTAAAAACTATACTATCTTATAAAAAACAATAAAGATATATATATATGATGAAATATATATCTTCATAATGAAAAGATTAAACTAAATTAAGTTTTATCGAAAAAGAATGTATTCTGTATAGAAATTGAAAAGATAGAACGAAATGAAATATCAACTTGACATAGAATCACAAAGGATTAATCCTTGTCTGATAATAATATATGTTATTGATGATATCGTTTCAATTTCTAGATATTTATATTCATATATAAGAATAAAAGATTGGCTATATAAATTAGGAGATATTATTTGATAGATATACATAACATATTAAATTTTTATATAGATATTAATTATATGAATAAAATGATGGGAAATATTTGAAAGAATCTGTTAATATTACGTTGAGCTACTTCAATCTAACAAAATATATTAATTTACTTGTAATATATTAAATTAGTTATTTATTATAATATTATATTTTAGATAATAATTATTTCATCAAAAGTTTTCATATTTTAATTAGAAGAATATGATATTAGAGAGATGCTTGAATTCCCCGTTATTATATCATATATTATATTAAGCTATTGCAAAATATTCAAATGAAAAAAAAAATATTATTTTTAAATGTAATTATTATATCCTGATAAATTTATTTATCAAATTTTTATACTTTAATTATTAAAATAAGATGTTACTAATATTTTTTATTTTAGATTCATTATTGTGATAATGAATAATAATTAAACACTAATTATTTTTAATAATATAATGAAGTAAATTGTTCTAGTGATGTACGTATATTACGTTATCCAGATGGTAGATAAAATTTATTATTTTGAACCTAGTGATCACGTAACCTCTAATTCTATTATAAAGCTAGTGCTTTAATGTATCGATATTTTGTTTTCACTACAAGTACCAATAATATATATGTATACTTAAATACATGCACAGTGTACAAATGATTATATGAAAATAAATATATATATAATCATATTTCTATTTAAATAGAAATTAATAAATATTAATTTTGCCAAAAGCATTTATGCATTTCTAATAATTATAAAAATAAAAATTCTGAAATTCTAAAACTCAATTTGATTTGATTTAATAGCTCTAATATTAATATATTGCTCTAATATAAAACGATAATTATGTAAAACAATTTATTAAATATTTACAGACGTTAGTGATATATGATACACAAGTTCTTGAAATTAAATTTCTTGATATTTTAAAAATACTGAATCTCTCTCCACAGACAAATATTTATCAAAATAATTCGAGGCGCATAAAATCTGAAAATAACACATTTGCATATGATGAAATCATGAAATTATACTTAATGCAATTATTAATAAATTCACAGTTTAAAAATACAAATTAAATTAATGTCTCATACAAAAATTTTCTTTTTCCTATTAATATATCCGCATATTATTAACATGATTGGTAATCGTTTCAATTTTTGGAATTTCATATTCTGTAATATTTAATTATTACACAAATAAAAATCAAACGATATAATATTTAATATTTCTACGAAAAATATTAACTATGATACAATAAAAAATAAAAACAAAAACGAAAAAAAATATTTTTGATTAATACATTTAAATTAAAAAAATCATAATCGATATTTTTCGATATCTAAGACAAAATAATTTATCTAAAAATACTATAGATTTTAAATAAATCTTTTTAAGAAATTTCGCAACAGATTTACCATTAAATATAACAGTACATAATTCATAATACATAAATTTCACAATTTATACTATAAGCCCATCAATCTCGCTTTATCATCTAATACTTCGTCCCATTGTTTACCAAGCATTCTAACCCTATTAAAAGCTAAAATGATTCCACTATCAATACAATCCGTATGAAATAACTATCCATCATAATCACGTGCAATCTATATATACGTATATACGTGCAAAATCGCCAAAAAGGCACAACGTGACCAGTAAAACAATATCTCTATCGTTAAACGTTGTTCCATCAAATTGAAGCATTCGTCGCGCCAGGTAATACTATTTACGAGACTATTTGATTGCAATCGATCGTAAACGGAACTATGACCAAACCGTCTGTTTTCTCGATCACGAAAAAAGAAAGAAGGAGAAAAAGAAACACAGAGAGAAAATATAAGAAGAGAAACAATCGACTTCGCGAAAAGAGAAGGAATAACGCGTTTCGCGGAAGAATACAACGTGGAGGAGGGTCGAGGAATCGGGCATGACAGATACATACAGAAGAAATAAAAAAGAGAGTCGGCTCTGTGCTTGGATCGTTCCTTTGTGTCCGTGCAAGTGGACGATTCGTTGACCCGCGGTTGCAATTCCTCCTCCGGCTTTTATGTCGGCTCAATTGGCCGGCAAAAGTTGTCGACGCACCAGAAACAGTGCATCCTTGCTGCACTATTCTGTCTTTCTTCCTATTTCGTAGATTATATCGATAAAGATGGCCGTCGCTTATGCGGGAATAGTTCCTGCGCGGTTGTGATAGGTCGGGATAGAGGTAAACGTGGATTTTGATCGATAAGTGTTCCAGATTATTTCTCGATCGATAGTGGATAGTGAATTGTGGATTTAATTTTATACTCAAGAATCAAACGGAGGATTTAGAAATTAATATAAGTTACTATACTAGGATTTAGAAGTTATTATTCTCTCAAGATGATTTACGTATTCAAAAATCTCTTTATTGTTTAAACTTTTACTCGACGAATCAATCAAACAATTATTTAACATTAATTAAGTATGTACTGTTAGGATCAGGATAATTAGTTAAAATTGCGAAAAAGAAGAAGAAATAGCTCTATATGTTATTTTTTATTAATGATTTAAAGTAGGAATAAATCATTTCATAAATCATTATTTTAAATTATTTTCGATAGTGGATAATAGAATAATATCTAAATTCATATTATTTTTACAATCGAAAATTAAAAAAGCTCAGACTTAACTGAAAATTAAAAAGAATAACAAATTTTTTAGAATATAAAATCACATTAAAAAGAAAATAATTTGTCACTTGATTCTGAATCTGAGATATAGATGCTGATTTTTTATTTTATATTTTCAAAATGACGCATCGATTGTATAAGAGAAAAATTACATTGCAAAATTATGATTGAACGTAAAGTTTAACCTGTGCTGTGCATTATATTTTACTATTTTAAAAATTTTTATTTATTTTAGAATATTTTAAATTTATTAAAACATTTTTATGTTTATAAAATGTTTGACTTTTGTTTAAATTTAAACTTATATGAAACAATTTTAACACTTAGCTGCAAAGTAAAATAATATATATTTAAAAAAACAAACATGTTACGTGAACATTTAAAAAAAAATTTAAATATAACTACAGATATGAAAAATATTTAGTATATTTTTGGAGCAAATATAGCGAGCAGATATGTTTGTGTCACGTACGTGTCAATGTTAGTTTCGTTGATGGACATTTCAAACTGTAAAGTAAACCTCAATTTGCTAGACTATCATTGATAACATTTTCAAAAATTATTAACCATCGATAAATGTCACTAAAAATAATAAAACCTAAATTATTCAATAATTTTAAACGATTTAAACAAAATTAAAATCGCTTTAAAATTGGATGCATAGTTATATTAGAATTAAATACAAGTTATTTTAAAAATTAGATTAGTAATTAATTATAAATAATTATTCCGAACATTAGCTTTAAATATTAAATATAAACATAATTTATATAAAATAGATATGAATATTAAATTACTTCACTATCTATTATAAATCTAATAAATTTTCACAGAAAGAAAAATTTATAATAACCACAGACAATACATTGTATACATCAGATACATTGTACACACATCTGGGAATCTTATTTTATCACATATTAGTCATCTTACTCGGAAACATCATACGACAATTACATAAGAGAAAAATGAGATTAATGAAAGACACGTTTGAACTACAATCTGTTCAATTTATCATCATCTATAATTAATTAATAACGTATATACGACTAATAAAAACACACAAACATTATTATTATTAAAAATTTCGGACAAAGCAAACCTCAGATGTTGATCCGGAAGATTAGTAATTCTTACGTAGCAGATCCAAGTCACGGTGCACGAATGAAACCACAAAGAGAGCAGACACAATAAAAACAGGCATCGTGAGTCATCAACACAGCGTGTCAATGTTCTTGCATCAACCAAACTCTTGTTGCCAGTACGTGTTGACGATTCAAAGAATATAACTGAACTGAGCTCGCTCGATCGTAATCTCGTTGCAATAATAATCCGTGGCTTCCTTCGTTCAAGGATAACGACGATTTATTAACGAGCACATTCTACTGCGTATTTTCAAATAGTTGTTAAATAAGTTAAGTAAGCCGGATTTCCATGAAAAAACCTCGATGAAACTCGGGCTAAAATCTCATAGGTATTCCCCAATCGATTGAATTTAACTAGAGTATCGTACGTGCGAAAAGCACGTGCAAACTTTTCCCACCGATAAACAACGTCAATCGAGATAGCAAGCTGTACCCACTGCAAACAATGGTACGGAGAAATCGAGCATGCCTGTCGATATTCTTTGTAAAGTGGTTTATGGTCTATAAAGAACGGGAGTTCAATTTGAGGACAACACTTGGATCCCATTAAAAAAGAAGGAAGAAAAAAATACGAAGAAAGAAACGACGAAATCTAAGAAACAGCGTAATTTGTCAATAAACCTGTAAAGACAAACTTCTGTCGGAGGAAATTATCGAAAGAAAAGCCACTAGAATGGAGTGGTGTCGTAGTCTGCAATAAAAGAAAATTGACGATTCCCGTTGAACTCGATCCAGATAACTATAAAACGAGATCGCCAAATAAGATAAGATACTATATTTTCTCGCTGACAATCAGGACGAAATGCACAACACACCGTGGACCCGGGTCACGGTGTCCCGGTCACGTTACTTCGCATCGTCGCGATTAACATTGTTGCTCGAAACTCCGGCGACGAAGTTTCATGGGACTTGGAAATTCTCTGGCCAATGCACAAACTCGTTCGTAACGAGTTCAGCTTGAAACTCCGCCGAGCACAACGACGTACCTCTCTGTTATATCTAGATTCCTGCCGACTAACGGGCCGATCCACCGTGGATTCCTCTTTGAGCCTTGCACACACTCTTTCAGCCTTTCACTGGTGTTCCAAACACTGGCAACTAAACGTATATTGGTCGTTCTTCTAGCCTAAAGATATGCCAGCAACCGGCGCGAGCACAAAAATAGAATACCGATGTTCGATGTCAGCGTCCACGTCGTGATTGTTTGAAACATTCCATGAAGATTTTCCGAGACGATCCACACCGAACGATTCATATGGTTCGACGAATACAGGAGACGTGAGTTGCGTGTCGACCGAGTTCGCTCGCGATACTAACTCGTGCCTCACCGCCACTTTTGCACGCTGGAGAACGTGCACTCTCTTGTATACCGGTTAACGATACTCCGTGCCGTTGTCCCTCCTTTTCTGCTCGACTATTCCTCCGTATTCGTTGTCGCGTACACGAGTTCGGTCTTTATTCCACAAATTGCGGCTACGTTGTTCTTTGTCTGTTACTCTCGAGCCCGTTTCATGGTTCTTGTGTATCTTGAACGACAAGCTGGATCACCAACACGTGAGTCGTTATCCATTTTTGGTTGGGGTAGGGAAATGTATTTTTATCAAGATTAGTTTTGATACGAGTCGAGAATATTGATTTGAGATACATATTTCGATGAAAGAGGCAAAGTTAATGGGAAAACGATATTGCGCAATCGTTACGTGGAATTGCCTGATAATAATGAGTGGATAATTACAGTTGGTTACAAAAGTATACTTTACGTACGTTATAGTTAATAAAATGTATTATCAAAACCAATAAAAAATTCCATTTTTAATGGAACTTTGTAAATGTTAGATAGAATATAATGAATTATGTAATAATTCTTTTTTTTTAAGAAAATTTCAGCTTGAGGATATTTTTATAACTGAATGTATTTAGATTGAACTCTTTTTTGATAAAAGTGTTTGCATTAATAATCATTTTCAAAATATAATTAATAGATATACGGATTAGATTAGAAAATTTTTGCTATTAAAGTATTAATAAAGTATTAAAAGTATTAAAAGTATTAAAAGTATGGCAATAATAAATGGAATATAAAATATGGAAATAAAATGGAAATAAACAGTCGAAGTAACTACCTTTATGCGAAATACTTTCACTTGTATCAATACATCGTGTAATGAGGATTGCATAGCTGCAGGCGACATATCACGAAGTACGTAGATTACATCTAAAAAGAGAAACACATTCGCAATTACAAAATTGATATAAATTTGTATGGCAATTTCGAGAAAAAAAAGGAAGAATTTACATTATAAAAATAATTAAAATTTTTATTCAGTTCACGCTTCGTTATGAATCCAATCCATTACGTGTAAGCTTTATATACTCAATCATTACCATATACGATCGTTTCTTTGTAGCTAGTTAATTAAGACAGTGGTGTATTTCGAATCTCCGCTTTCACCGTAATTCATACGTTCGAATCATGGAATAATGCATTAAAGGGAAGTTCGCCTACATTGAAAAACGGAGAAGTCGGAGTTATCTCGTAAAAATAACTCGTTAAAAATTCCGCTTTGTTCGAGATACGGTCTATTTTAATTACACAACCGCCGGACGAAGGAACTTTTCAAAAATCGCATGGATGACGCGCGAGTGCAATTTAAGCCAGTCCCGTGATGAAATAGAGTCCGAGAAACTTATAGCCACGAGGAGACGAGGACGAATAATATCTAGCCTATATAATTCGGAACTACTTTATCCTCGAGTGGTGATAGAACAAACTCAGCGTTTCATCAAATGAAAAAGATGCTTCATCCAACGAGATTTGTGCATCTTGCATCTTTCGTCCGAAGAAATTAATGACGTCTTCCATGGTCCTCGAGATTTTCCTGGTTTTCATTCGCCCTTTGATTCATCACTCGCATTGAATTAATTCTAGAGTGATCCAGACACTGTTGTTTTCATCGCTATTGTATTTGTCGTTACAACTGCATCTGAGAAATTTGTCGATTGGACGAATGCGGCTATTATGTACCTGGTAGTTTTCAATGGAGTTCCTCTTGTTATTCTTCCGAAGAATATTATCATCTCTTTCGTTCATTTTTATCTTTTTTCTTCTATATTTATCGAATATCAGCTGCATGATATTTCTCTTACGTATATGTATACAATATTATAATGATTAAACATTAAATATCGTTCAACTGGAAATTCTGCAATATTCTGCAATAAAGTGAAAATATTAGAATGAAATATCTTTCTCTTAAAATTTTTAAAAAAGATATTCTCTGAAACGACGAGAGACATTTATATATTGTTTCCAATTTAAACGTAAAAATATGTCGCTATATTTTATTTAACGCGAGAGTTGATCTAGTGATACGATGCGTGGAAACAGGAACTCAAATACAATTTATTTTTCATAATGTTTCTTCCGTGATAAAAAGTTCATACGATTAATCCTGACTAGTCCTGACATGTACAATAAAATACACAATAGTAAAATTTATGTATCAACAAATATAATCGTTTTAATTAATAAAATAAAATACTATATTTATAAATATATTTTGAATGTATACATAATACATTTTTCAATACACTTAAAAATTTCACGTTTCGAAAAACAAGAGATCATTAATCTTCGATGAGCATCTTGTTTATACAGATCAATTAATAGAGGCCTTGAACAATCGTTACACGTTGAATTCTTTATTCATAGATAAAATACAATGACGGCACGAAGTTAACAAACTGCAGCCTCGAAGCGCGAAGGTAAATTTGTCGATTAAAACGAAACTAGTCGATCTAAGCTCACGTGGTATGAAACGTGTCGTACAATTATGTAATTATGTAATTGAATGTCAATAATATGATTCCTTTAAAAATATTTCTTGAAACGCAACTTTTTTGCGTGTACATAATCATATATATATATATATAATTATACTATAATAATTAATTATACTATATATATATAATTATATATATATATAATTATTTATATGGATTTTATATGGAAGAAATGTTATACTACTTGTTGATATCCGCGTTGGTTTTACAAACTTTTTATCATCGGAATATTGATTTCGATTAACTGATAAATTGAAATATATTTTCATTATGGAATAATACTATGATCTGTAGAGCAATAAAATTAATAACACAGTCACGAAACAAAAATTTTTAATCTAATTTTCATTTGCTAAATATAAATTTTCGAGTAAACCGCGTCATATAGTTAACCTGGCTACTAGCCAGACGATTGGTGAAAATTATATCGAGCAAACACAGAAGTAACTTGTCGCAAAAAAAATATAATTTCGTAGAAATTTAATTTTTCATACTAGAACTATAACGTCAATGCTTTTAATAACACGTATTTTCGTATTAATTGCAATACACTAACCTTATATTCATCTAGGTCAAGATTAATTACTACCAGTAGTATCCATGATATATAATACCATTGAACATCCGTAATAAAATTTTGAACATCGCGTTTACACTCAGTTCTGCATTTGAAGTGTTTTTACATTAAAAAATACACGAAAGTTTCAAATTGTAACAATTTATTACTCTCACTACAGAGAGTACGCGTGATTTCTATGTGGCATTACATGGATATATATACACTTCGACATAGGAATTGTCACAATGAATCAGCGACCCCCAACGAATAAAATCGGAACTTTGATAATTTGTCGTTATACATTGATAGTTTCGTGACGTTGTAATGATATATATGTATAATGCGATGCAAGTTCACGTTTCTTGCGCGATGAATACCGATATTCGATCAGAAAAAGAATAATTTATGTGGAAAAAATTAATATGCGTTATAAATATTCGTGGAAGTATAACATCATCGTTGAATTAAAATGTCAATCGAGAATCCATCAGCTTCGATTTATGAAGAGGACTCATTTTACCGAATAACAATGTGAATTCTTCGAAAGAGGTCGACGTTTGAAAAATTAAACATGAACCAGCCAGACGCATTTATTGATTCACCTTTCTATCTGCTCACTAGTAACTACATCCGTAATATACTCTATATATATATATCTTGCTTTCATACGACTATGCGAATTATTTCGACGAAGATTATCATATACATCAGAAAAGTTATTGACTATATACAGAAACGATGCATGCTCTGTCTGATACACAACCGTGAAAACAGAACATGAATGTTTTGTCAGCTTGTGTTTGACGGGTTGAATCAATAATGAAGCGCGGTCAATATTTCACGATAACAAGCGAACAGATTATTTCTGAAATGTTCCTGACAAATTATTCGATACATGGAAATATTTTCCCATGGTATTGAGTATATTATGCATGGATAGATAACGTTTTTAAGCAAAGTAAGCAACGGTTGTGTACAACGTTTGCTGGAACAGCACATGCTTCGGGACTGCACGAGACTGCTACTCAAGTTTATACATCGGTGGTGCCATCCATTGACATGTAGTCTTATTACGTATTTCTGCTTGGATAGTTTGCAAGAGTTAGCGTTACCAGCCGCGCGACGGCTTCAAAGTTTACGTATAATAGAGTAACGAGATTTCTACATTTAAAGATGCTATTATCTCAAGTATGACCCAGTTCGAAAATATAACATTGTAAATATAGACAAAATTGAACTTTTCTTTATATTTTCTTAATTTTTATTTTACGATTTACCATTTATGCATACAAATTTAAGATATATTTACTATATATTTAATATTCATTTTATTATGATACATATGTATATGTAGTTTCTAAAAATTAATATGATGAATATAAAGTCAGATTTCTTGCCGAAACTTACTTTCCATCGATATCATTTCCATAGTCAGGCAAAAGTCCAAAAATCTTGTAGGCAAATTTTCAAATCCATACGACACCAATAATGTACGGCATATCACCGGTTTAACTGGATCGAGGCCAAATTGTTTTGTGGTCTACTTCAAACTTTATGCGCATCTACTTCAAACTGTATACTTTTTCAGTGCATCTAATCACGTCATGCATCAGGATTTGTATTTTTCTACAAAATGTGAAATATTCTCTATATTAAAATATGAAATATTCTAATAAAAAACAACTATAGTATAAGCCATAAACTATAAGCTAATATAGCCATTTAAATTTTTGATTTAATACAAAAAAATTATAATATTATCTATGATATATTATTATTTAAAAGTTATAAAAATATAAAGATAAAATCAAATCGTAGAATAAATAAGAACAATATATAAAAAATATTTTCATTTCAAATAATAATTTCATAAAAAAATAAAAATTAATTTTATTTACCATTTCTTAATATTATATGTACAATATTCGCGTTGCATACGAAATTCTCTCACCGCTCTAAAGAAAAATTAAACAGTTATCGAAAATAATCCTCCACATGAGCCACACACCGTTGCAATATGCAATTTTATAGTAATAATAAATGCAACAATCATAATTACGAAAGAAATTGGTCCGCATTACAGAGAAATTGACAACATGAACTCGTGTACCGTAACGAGCTACAATTGCATAAACGTGCGTAAGCACATAGATAAAAATATACCTATAAACGAAAAATAGAGAGAACGAGAGGAAAAATGCAAAAAAAGAACGAAAGAATGAACAAGGAACGAAAGAACGCCGCACGTTTCATCAGTGGCTACACAGCTGCTGCATATGAAACACAGTTCATCCAAACTCGTCCACGTGACGCGTGTGAATAAAAAAGAATCATATCTCGATATAGATGGTCATCGTGATCGTTTCCACGAAAAAAATCGCTACAGATTTCGTAAATATTCATTGAACAGCTCACGTTTCATCTACAAAGATGCTAATTAAACCAATTGAATTATCTATACATGACAGAGAAAATTTAACTCACGACTCGGTACGTTGCCAATCGTTTTATACAGATTGAACGCAGATATTCGGCAATTTACATCGATCCATCACGAAAATTCACGAATATGTACAGGTTATGACACACTACGCGATTCAATCGTAAGAAGAATACGTATTGCTGGTAGCACGATTGCATCATTCTTAACGAAAGTTGGAAAGCAGGATGCGAGATAAAATCGAACGTACCGAATTTCGATAAATTTCGCGTTATTAATCATCAAGGAACAATGAAAAGTTTCTCGACGTAATCCGCGTGCCGTTTAAATGGAAGCAGGACTGTACTCCAATTTCTGTCTTTCGCCGTGCTCCTCCGTATTTCCCGTCTCTAGGCAACCGAGGCTCGTGATTATTCGTGTGTGTACGTATAGGTTCCTCTACACATCGATACTTTCTGCTCATTGGTGCGAGTGCACACGCGCTTCATGTACATATACCGACACGTATACAGAGAAATAGCATCGATTGCCTTTTAGGCAACGAGCGCATGGACCTATATTATCTGCTCACCAATCCCGACCGACTCGTGCACGCTTGATGATATGTTCCATTAACGCTTAATTTGATTGTAAAATCGGAACATCGGGCAGAACAGCTAAAAACGTTCGATTAGTTATGAGGCGCAGCGGACCGATTAGGATATTGCATCCTCTCTTAAACGTTTAACATCAATTAGAAGCAGAGGATTTGATCGAAAAAAATGATTAAATTAATTGTGAATCAAAGTTTCTTGAAATGTTTCGTAATTTTTTTTATAATAGAATTTATGGTGGATATATATAAAATGTATGAAATAATATGAAACTCAGATAATATTAAAAATCATATTTTTAATAATAAATTAAGAATATATTTTTTTTCAAAATAATACTTAAAATATTAAAAGTTTATGAATATTCAATTTTTTCTTTTTAATAGAATATTATAGTTTTTAATGTTTGAGTTTCAATTGTTGCAATGTTATTTTTTTAATGAATTTCATCTATAAAATTTATATCAAGCTATTACTTTCTCTCTGCTGAATTTAGTGAAATGTAAATGTTCGGATCTTTTATTAGATCGAACAACTGATGGTTTTGTATTGGAATTTTATTAAATTGCAATCACTAAACTTTAAAAATCTGAAATGTTTAACGATATTTTGTATTTATTTTTTATTTGTTACAAAAAAGAGTGTTATTTATTTAATATACATTTGCTGAAAAAGAATCATCAATTTTTTTGAACTATAAAAATGATACAGTATGTATTTATTAATTTTTTTAAGAGAGAAAGTGTAAATTTAAAAATAGATTCATGATAAAATCAAATAAAATGAGAAAAAAATTCAAATTAATGTATACAATTTTTGATATATACAATTTTTAGATGTATTTATTTTTATTTTATTGAAATAATAACGTATATGTATATATAATACTAGTAGATAGTAATTATCGAATCGTTTTGAATTGTGTTATATCTACTGAACAAGAAACTTTGAATACTGTTTATTCATCCATTCATTGCCGTTTCAAACGCATTCCATATATTGCACGATCGTTTATTACAAATGCAAACATGTAATTTACTGATAATTATTTCCAATAAGAAACACTAATCTTGATCAGTTGATATTATTCAAAAGTATAACAAAAATAGAATAGAAATAATTTCTATTTTTTATATTTATGAATAAGTTTCTAAAATTTTATTTTTTATCGTTCAATATTTTAATATAATTTTTGCAACTTTAGAAGGATATTTTCTTCATTTTTTTATTTACCTAAAGATTTATTTACTATTAATATTTTTATTAATATTTTATAAATATTTTTTTGTATTTTTTTATCAACATAATCTTTCATCGCTAAAACTAATTCCTTATCAATATAATTCCACAAACTAGAACAGCATATGTATGAACTTACATAACTTATATCGTGAATATATATTGATTAAAACAAGAGATAAAATATCTTTAGTTTCATCAAATTAAATATGTCACAATATTTATCTCAGTGATAAATAAACATTTTTACAAAATTACAAATATAAAAATTCCTATTTCATTATATTTTATCTGCAGTTCGATTACAAATTACAAATTAAAAGGAAAATAATTAAAATTCCAGGCGAAATCTCTAATTATCTAATAAATCACTTTAAAGAGAAATATATTTATATTAAATATATTCTATTGTTAATCTCGATCTTTTTAACAAGATGAATTTTGGAACGTTAAAAATCCAGAACTATCTAAAACATCCACGAGTTTATTCACAAAATACTTTCCATTCAATCTACCTATATAAAAATTCATGCGTAACCGGAGCGACTCTTTTTTACCTCTTCTTCTTAAAAAAAGAAAAAAAGAAAAACGAAAAAAATATTAATCCATTTGTAGGACAAGACTAAACAAATTTTATTCAATGCCAGTTCAGGGTATAGAATTAAAAAAAAAAAAAAAAAGTGAAGAGCCGAAACGTTTAAGCCTCTCGTGTAAGTAAAATCGTGACGCGCCAGAGCGTGCCCTTTCGAACGGGATATCGGATTTCGGATTTGAAAGAATAAACGGATTAGCCGGTTGTGAATATCGCATCTTCGAGGATTAATAGGAACGAAGTTAGGCGAGAGGGCCGTGTTGCACTGCCATGATAATTGTATTGCATGCGAAATTGGTAATTGAATTATTTCATCAGCATTATTGCC